GATTCATAAGGATGTCTAAGATTATATATTATATTATATTAAATGATATGCAAACAGCTGTTGCAAACAAGACACTGGTTTGACATGGGAGAAATATGGTAAGAATGTTTATTTCTCTGTCCATTCTTCCCTGAAATTTCTATTTCATTATCCACCTTCTTTAGAGACTGTTTCAGCCCAACATATTATTTTGATTGCAAGCAGTTTTTCCCCAATCAACACACACACAACTATAAATAAACAAATTTAATAGAGACATTGGTGATTTTATCAATGTAATCAGATTGAAAATATTAGGCTGTGTTATTGACATTGTACTGATTATTTAGCCTACTATTTGTAGCATAGGCAGATGGATTGGGCTGCTATTATGTTCTGTTCCTCCAATTGGCCAAGGCCAAACCTACTGCCGACCTCTGCTTACATAGTTTAGCGAGGATAGGAGGGAGGCGGCAGTTTTTTTTGTCTTGCCTAGGGCGGCAGAACTTCCAGGGCCGGCCCTGAAGTGGTCAATACACCTGGGTAAAATAAAGTTGTGTTTTGGAGGAAGCAGACGAAGAGCTAGGAGAAACAGATTGGTGAAGGGGGAGAGAGCTTGATAGTGGGGTAATTACTGCTGCTAGCTAACTTTTGATGTTAACAATGTGGCCGTCAAACATTGGACTCGTATGCTAGCTACATTTAATTTAGTTATATTGTTGGCTGTCGTGAGAGAAATTCATCTATCTAGAACAACTTACGAGGTAAGCTGATTTTACACTACCTTCACATCACACTAGCTGTGTGGTTATTTGCTGTGCTAACCAAATGTAGCCAACACCATCAGAGCAAATGGATAATAAACATAATAAATCGTGAAATAAACGTTGTCTGATGATTTTGTTTAGTGGATATGGTAGCAAGTTCAGTTTTCTGGTTGGATCAAGAAACACGAACATGTTATTTTTTGCAAGCCAACTAACTTGCAGCGCTGGATGTTTACTGGGGAACCTCTTGGTTGCGTGTGCATATAGAATGTGTTATTGTTTTGACAGTTGAAAAGGTCTATAGACTAGACTAAACACTAGACTATTGACTAGAGATTAGACACTATAGAGTAGACAGTAGAGGGAGGGGCAGGGCTCTTACTTGCTGGCGAGGCCTCCCCCTGGTGGCAGGTTGGGGATGCTCTCTGAGGACAGGTTTCTCATGACCGTCACCAGGTCTGGAATACCATCCTCTCCCGCCTTCTCTATGATCTCTGAAAGGGGGAGAGAGACAGAGAGGGGGAGAGAGAGAGAGAGGTGGAGACAGAGGGAGACAGAGAGAGAGACAGAGGGAGACAGAGAGAGAGACAGAGGGAGACAGAGAGAGAGAGAGAGAGAGGGAGACAGAGGTGGAGACAGAGGGAGAGAGAGAGAGAGAGAGAGACAGAGAGAGAGGTGGAGACAGAGAGAGAGAGGTGGAGAAGGGGGAGAGAGAGGTGGAGAGAGGGAGAGAGAGTGGAGACCATGGAGAGTGAGATGGAGAGAGAGGTGGAGACGAGAGAGACAGAGAGAGGTGGAGACAGAGAGAGACAGAGAGAGGTGGAGACAGAGAGAGGTGGAGACAGACAGAGAGACAGAGAGGTGGAGACAGAGGGAGAGAGAGAGGTGGAGACAAGAGTGAGAAGAGAGGTATAGAGAGAGAGAGGAGAGGAGTAGAGATGCAGGAGAGACGAGTGAGAGAGAGAGTGAGAGAGAGTGTTTGGAGACAGAGTGAGGAAGAGCTAGAGAGGTTGGAGACAGAGAGAGGTTTGGTGGAGACATGGAGGATTAGAGGGTGGTAGACACATGAAGGGAGAGAGGTTGGAGACAGAGGGTAGATAAGTAGAGAGTTTTGGAGACAGATAGAGGAGAGAGAGAAGGGAGGTGTGAGACAATAGAGAGATAGAGTGGAGACAAAAAGAGAGTGTGGAGACAGAGGAGAGAGGTGAGACGGGAATCGAGAAGATTGTGTGGAGACATATAGTAGTAGAGAGAGTGGGACAGATGGAGATGCGAGATGAGATGTTGGAGACAGATGAATAGAGAGAGAGGTGGAGACAGAGTTGAGAGAGAAGAGAGGTGGAGACAGATAGAGAGAGAGAGTAGAAGATAAGAGAGGTGGAGACAGATTGAGACAGAGAATGGAATAGAGATTGTTTATACAGATTTGATAGTAAGAGAGTGATTTGTTGGATCAGTGAGTTAGATAGTAGTGTTAGTCATAGGTTAGAGTAGAGTGTTGTAACACAGCATATAGAGAAGTAGAGGATAATGAGAAGGGTTGTCGAGCGAAGGTGGAATAAGAGAAGAGTGTAGACAGATGAGGAAGAGGTAGGATAAGAGGTTTGAGACAGAGGATGAGATGAGTAAGTTGATACCAGGGATTAAAGTATAGAGAGGTTGGAGACAGAGGATGAGAGAGTAGAAAGAGCAGTAGAGTGTGGATACATAAGGATGGTATGATTTTTAGCAGAAAATGAGGTGAGACAGAGAAAGAAGGTGAACAGATAGAAGAGTGTTTAACAGTAGAGGGTGATACAGAAGAGAGAGAGAGGTGAGACAGAGATGAGAGTGAAGAGAGAAGTAAGAAGTAAGTAAGAATATGACCTGCTAGTCAATTAAGTACAGAGTGACTACTTTGATTTGTTCTCATCTGCTTCAGTTTTTCTCTACTCTCTCTCATCTCTCTCTTTTTTCCCTTTGTGTCTCCCTGATCATTCGCTCTCTTTTTCTCTCCCCTTTTTCTCCCCTTCCTCTCTCTGTTTTCTCCCCTCTTTTCTCCTCTCTCTCTCTTTTTCCTCCCTTTTTCTCCTCTCTTTTTTTTTGCTTCCCTCCTTTTTCTCTCTCCCTCCTTTATCGCTATCTCTTTTCCTCGCCTCTTCTTCTCTCTTCTTCTCCTTTCGCTCGTCCTTTTTCATCTTTCTCTCCTGGGATCGGTCGGTTTGAGACTCGTTTGAGCCCGATTTTGTTCATACAGTCGGTTAGCCTGGTTTCCTTTTTGTCGCCTTTTGGTATACTAGCACAGAAGGTGAGCAGAGGGAGACAGAAGGGGATGAGAATTGATGGGATTAATTCAAAGGTTAAATGTTGCTACATAAAACCACAACTGCTGTGAGACAAGTGAGTCTGGGAAAATGTTCAGTGTGCACGTGTTAGGGGTGGGCGATATGAACAAAAATTCATATCACAATATTTTCCACTGTCCTGACGATAACGATAGAATATCATGATATACTGTAAAAAAAAAAATTTGACATTTTATGAGCCCTTCAAAGTTAATAAATGACTAAATATTGCTTTTAACCTTATAGAAACAGAAAGGGGGCATTGCACATTTTTTTAAAGTATTATTTGTTTTACTTCTGTGGTAAACCTGTGCAAACAAAGGTATATGAGTTAAATAAATATGAAGTAACATTTTCTAAAAAAAATATTGAAAGTACTCAGGATGTAAACTTTTTCCTACCAAATATAAGAAGTACAGTCTTTTTTCAGCATAACAACAGTCATTATGAATTTAAGTTGTAAACCTTTTCAAATTAACTTCAAGCATTAACCAGACAGTCTGTGTTTCTCAGTTCAGCATGTAACAATTCACTGCCTCCCTCTTCACAAGTCCCGTGCCAGGAACACCAGCCTATTGACAGTTTCTGGCTTCAAAGTTGCCCTGTTGCCATGTGTCTCTCAGAGGGTGAACTTGTGGCAGGGATGCATAAGTATTTCTTTGTCAGACAACTCAATTGTGGGAAGTTGGATGCGTGAACTTGCCACCACTCCAAAGGATCAGCCTCACTGTCTGCTGCCATCATCAGAGTGTAACTGTCCAGCTCTTGCTCGATGACCTGTCTCTGGGTTCTTAAGGCAGGTGCACTACTGGTTTTCTTAAAGAAGCTCCCAAGGCTCTTCTTGGACTTCTTTGCTGATTGTGGAGCAGTGGCAGCTTATTTTTCTCTCTCATTCTGGTCCTCTTCAAAAGAGAAGTCTCCCACGGCTGTGTTCCCTACCAGGAGGGCTTCTGTCTCAGAGGCAGCTCTCACCTTCACCTCCACCTCCACCAGCTTCTCAGCGGTCATGTAGGTGGTCTTGAACCTTGGGTCCAGAAAGGTAGCCATGGTGAGCAGCTCATCTGTTTCAGGGTCGGTGTATTTCTCATTCAAGTAATTGAGGACCTTCATCTTAATCTCTCCGGTCAGTTTGGCTTCGCCTTCATTTGATTTCAGAACATCCGTCTTGAACAAATGGAGGACCGGCTTCAGATAGGACACACTCACGTATGTCTCTCCTGACAGGGCATCTGTGAAATCCTGGAGGGGCTTAAGTGCTGTCGTGATCGATTCAAAGACCTCAATGTCTTGTCAGGAGGGTGCAAGGTGCCGTGTTTTTTTGTCTGCTGCCAGGACTTGTGTGATGGCCTTTTCCTGCTCCAGGACTCTTTCCATCATCTGCAGTCGAGATCCCCACCTTGTCGGGGATTCCGTGATGAGCTTGTGGAGGGGCAGGCTCAGTTTATCCTGTGCACTTGTCAGGGCTTTCTGCTTCTTCCAACTATAGGAAAATGTGCTGACCACTTTCTTGCACACTCATGTGGCCCGGGAAACCCGAGGTTCGTTTTGGACACTCCTCTCTGAAAAATAAAAACGTGAAAAAGAATTACATATGAATCACAATTATTCAATAGAAATAACATCGCATCTGCTGTAATTACAACAATTTACTGCATGGACACTGGACATGATTACACATTTAATCCATCTATAGATTTACAAACAACTGTTGATTAAGAGAGCTATGTTGCTTTAGAAAACGGGATCATTTATTGGAGTAGGCTATTTATTATTGAAAGAGAGAGGATAGATTCATATATTGAAACCATAGGCTAATGTATCAATTATAAATAAAAGCAATGTAATCCATGTAATGTTCGGATATTGCACACATTTACAAATATTCTAGATTTGCATAGCTGTATATATCCGGCTTAACGTATAAGAAGGATCAGGCAGTGTAGTCAGCTCTAACTTTAAACAGAGGAGATAAGGAATAGAACAGTTATTCTGCATTTTATGTTGTTTTTAAGTGAGGTTATTTTTCTACCTAGCTCTCTGTGTTTTGGACGTTGAAACTTACCAATAGCAATGTGTAGCCTGTGTCCGAAACGCCCTAGTCTTGTCCATTTGTTCAGCTCCAATGCTTTGACCATGTTCGATCCGCTGTCGGTAGTCATACATACTTGACGCAACTCTTTCAAGCCGCAGGATGAAAGTGCCTCCCTCAGCCCAGCTGCAATTATTTATCCGGTGTGGTCATCTGGGAAATAAGAGGTCTGAAGGGATTTGCTTTGCAGCTTCCAGTTGTCGTCAACGTAATGAATCGTGAGGCTAATGTATGGCTGTGGTCCGGCTTGACCATAAGTCGGCAGTGGTAGAGAAGAATGCAGCGTTACGGATTTCGTTGGCAACTCTGTCCCGACATTCTGTGTAGAGTTCTGGCAGACATGTTTTGCTGAAGTATTTACGGCTCGGGATCTCGTATCTTGGGTCTAGAGTTCAAATCAACTTTCTGAAACAGTCTTTCTCCACAGTTTGAATTGGTTCCATGTCTTTCGCTATGTGATACGTAATTGTTATCTCATTCCACTTCGTTATCTCATTCCACTTCTTGCTCTTCTTGTCATAGGGAGTACCACTAACGAATGATGCATTGGGTGATAGCTGAGTGCGGGTCTGGCTTGAAGATGTCTTGAAAGTACTCAGGCTGCTTCGGGGGTTTGTTGCACGCATTCAGGTAGACTCTTCATATTCGCACACATGCAGGGTTTTCAGGTGGTGAAAAAGATTGCTGGTGTTTCCACCTTTGGCTAGCACAATGCGTAGACACAATTTACACAGTACTGTTTGTTGGTCGAGGTCGGATATCTTAAAGCCAAACCAGCTCCAAACAACAGAGGCCCCCATTTTTCGAACCAATTCTTCGTTGTCCTGCAAATCATCCTCAATAGTGTTATTTTACTTGTCTTCAGTCATCCTCAATGCTTGATTTTCTGACACTTTTGCTAACAAAAGGAGTTTACTTCACTTTTTTCCATACATTCATTTATCATGATCAAATCAAATTTAATTTTTTCACATACACATGTTTAGCAGATGTTATTGCGGGTGTAGCGAAATGCTTGTGCTTCTAGCTCTGACAGTGCAGTAATATCTAACAAGTAATATGTAACAATTTCACAACATATACCCAATACACACAAATCTAGTAAGGAATGGAATTTATGAATATATTCATATATGGACAAGCAATGACAGAGCGGCATGGCCTAAGATACAGTAGAATATTATAGAATAGAATACAGTATATACATATGAGATGAGTAGTGCAAGACATGTAAACATTATTAAAGTGATTAGTGTTCCATTTCTTAAAGTGGCCAGTGATTTCAAAAGGCAGCAGCAGCCTCTAATGTGCTAGTGGCGGCTATTTAACAGTCTGATGGCCTTGAGATTGAAGCTGTTTTTAATTATCTCGGTCCCAGCTTTGATGCACCTGTACTGACCTTGCCTTCTGAATGATAGCGGGATGTACAGGCAGTGGCTCGGGTAGTTGAAGTCCTTGATGATCTTTATGGCCTTCCTGTGACATCGGGTGCTGTAGGTGTCTAGGAGGGCGGGTAGCTTGCCCCCGGTAATGCATTCGACAGACAGCACCACCCTCTGGAGAGCCCTGCGGTTGCGGGCGGTGCAGTTGCCATACCAGGCGGTGATACAGCCCGACAGGATGCTCTGAATTGTGCAGCTGTAAAAGTTTGTGAGGTTTTTAGGTGCCAAGCCAAATTTCTTCAGCCTCCTGAGGTTGAAGAGGCTTCGTTGCGCCTTCTTCACCACACTGTCTGCGTGGGTGGACCATTTTAGTTTGTCAGTGATGTGTACGCCAAGGAACTTGAAGCTTTCCACCTTCTCCACTGCAGTCCCGTCAATGTGGATAGGGGGGTGCACCCTCTGCTCTTTCCTGAAGTCCACGATCATCTCCTTTGTTTTGTTGACGTTGAGTGAGAGGTTATTTTCCTGGCACCACACACCCAGAGCCCTCATCTCCTCCCTGTAGGTGGTCTCGTCATTGTTGGTAATCAAGCCTACTACTGTTGTGTCGTCTGCAAACTTGATGATTGAGTTTGCGTGGTTGGCCACGCAGTCATGGGTGAACAGGGAGTACAGGAGGGGGCTGAGCACGCACCCTTGTGGGGTCCCAGTGTTGAGGATCAGCATGTTGTTGATGTTGTTTCCTACCTTCACCACTTTGGGGCAGCCCGTCAGGAAGTCCAGGACGCAGTTACACAGGGCGGGGTCCAGACCCAGGGCCTCAAGCTTAATGATGAGCTTGGAGGGTACTATGGTGTTGAATGCTGAGCTATAGTCAATGAACAGCATTCTTACATAGGTATTCCTCTTGTCCAGATGGGATAGGGCAGTGTGCAGTGTGATGGCAATTGCATCGTCTGTGGATCTATTGGGGGCAGTAAGCAAATTGAAGTGGGTCTAGATTGACAGGTAAGGTAGAGGTGATATGATCCTTGACTAGTCTCTCAAAGCACTTCATAATGACAGAGGTGAGTGCTACAGGGAGATAATCAATTAGTTCAGTTACCTTTGCTTTCTTGGGTACAGGAACAATGGTGGCCATCTTGAATTGAATATGTCCGTAAACACACCAGCTAGCTGGTCTGCGCATGCTCTGAGAACGCGGCTAGGGATGCTGTCTGGGCCGGCAGCCTTGCGGGGGTTAACATGCTTAAATGTCTTACTCACGTCAACCACGGAGAAGGAGAGGCCACAGTCCTTGGTAGTGGGCCTCGTTGGTGGCACTGTGTTATCCTCAAAGCAGGTGGAGAAGGTGTTTAGCTTGTCTGGAAGCGAGACGTCGGCGATGTGGCTGGTTTTCCTTTTGTAGTCTGTGATTGTCTGTAGACGCTGCCACATACGTCTCATGTCTGAGCCTTTGAATTGCGACTCCACTTTGTCTCTATACTGATGTTTTACCAGCAAAATCCATATCATGGCACAACGTCATACCGGTATTCACATTCATACCGGTATACCGCTCACCCAATACATTATCAATTACAAATCTTAGAATCAACTACTAAAGACTACCAGAACCCACTGGATTCTCCAATTACATTGAATGAACTACAGGACAAAATACAAACCCTCCAACCCAAAAAGGCCTGTGGTGTTTATGGTATCCTACATGGAATGATAAAATATACAGACCACAAATTCCAATTGGCTATACTTAAAATCATCCTTAGCTCTGGCATCTTACCCAATATTTGTAACCAAGGACTGATAACCCCAATCCACAAAAGTGGAGACAAATTTGACCCCAACAGCAACCTTGGGAAAATCCTCTGCATTATCATTAACAGCAGACTTGTGCACTTCTTCAGTGAAAACAATGTACTGAGCAAATGTCAAATTGGCTTTTAACAGATTACCGTACGACAGACCACATATTCACCCTGCACACCCTAATTGACAAACAAACAAACCAACACAAAGGAAAAGTCTTCTCATGCTATGTTGACTTTAAAAAAGCATTTGACTCAATTTGGCATGAGGGTACGACATTATAAAATCCACACACAAGTGTGCAGTTAAAATGGGCAAAAAACACACACATTTATTTCCACAGGGCCGTGAGGTGAGACAGGGATGCAGCTTAAGCCCCACCCTCTTCAACACACACACATATATATATACCTATCTCAGCGAGAGCACTAGAACAGTCTGCAGCACCCGGCCTCACCCTACTAGAATCTGAAGTCAAATGTCTACTGTTTGCTGATGATCTGGTGCTTCTGTCCCTAACCAAGGAGGGCCTACAGCAGCACCTAGATCTTCTGCACAGATTCTGTCAGACTTGGGCCCTGACAGTAAATCTCAATAAGACAAAAATAATGGTGTTCCAAAAAAGGTCCAGTTGCCAGGACCACAAATACAAATTCCATCTAGACACCGTTGCCCTAGAGCACACAAAAAAACTATACATACCTCGGCCTAAACATCAGCAACACAGGTAACTTCCACAAAGCTGTGAATGATCTGAGAGACAAGGCAAGAAGGGCCTTCTATGCATTCAAAAGGAACATAAAATTTTACATACCAATTAGGATCTGGCTAAAAATACTTGAATCAGTTATAGAACCCATTGCCCTTTATGGTTGTGAGGTCTGGCGTCCGGTCACCAACCAATAATTCACAAAATGGGACAAACACCAAATTGAGACTCTGTGTACAATGAAAAACACAAAATAATGCATGCAGAGCAGAATTAGGCCGATACCCGCTAATGATCAAAATCCCGAAAAGAGACGTTAAATTCTACAACCACCTAAAAGGAAGCGATTCCCAAACCTTCCATAACAAAGCCATCACCTACAGAGAGATTAACCTGGAGAAGAGACCCCTAAGCAAGCTGGTCCTGGGGCTCTGTTCACAAACAGACCCCACAGAGCCCCAGCACAACAACACAATTAGACCCAACCAAATCATGAGAAAACAAAGAGAATTACTTGACACATTGGAAAGAATTAACAGAAAAACAGATCAAACTAGAATGCCATTTGGCCTTAAACAGAGAGTACACAGTGGCAGAATATCTGACCACTGTTACTGACCCAAAATTAAGGAAAGCTTTGACTATGTACAGACTCAGTGAGCATAGCCTTGCTATTGAGAAAGGCCGCCGTAGGCAGACCTGGCTCTCAAGAGAAGACAGGCTATGTGCACACTGCCCACAAAATGAGGTGGAAACTGAGCTGCACTTCCTAACCTCCTGCCAAATGTATGACCATATTAGAGACACATATTTCCCTCAGATTACAGAGATCCACAAAGAATTCGAAAACAAATCCAATTTTGATAAACTCCCATATCTATTGAGTGAAATACCACACAGTGTGCCATCACAGCAGCAATATTTGTGACCTGTTGCCACAAGAAAAGGGCAACCAGTGAAGAACAAAGACCATTGTAAATACAACCCATATTTATGTTGATTTATTTTCCCTTTTGTACTTGAACTATTTGCACATCGTTACAACACTGTATATAGACATAATATGACATTTGAAATGTTTCTATTATTTTGGAACTTGTGTGAGTGTAATATTTACTGTTCACTTTTTATTGTTTATTTCACTTCTGTTTATCCATTTCATTTGCTTTGGCAATGTAACCATATGATTCCCATGACAATAAAGCCCTTTGAATTGAAATTCAATTGAGAGAGAGAGTGCGAGAGAGAATCTGAAACAGGGTAAAGAGGCGGAATGTGACAGAGACAGGAGGAGAAGGGAGACAGAGACTGTTGGAAGAGAAGCAGAGGGTGAAGAAGGAGAGGAAGAGGGAGAATGTGGGTCAGGACATGAATGTGCTTCAGTGGGAGTTGATAGGCCAGCTGGAGCTCTAGCAACCACCAGTCAGGCAGTCAGTCAGGCAGCCTACCGGTCTGTGTCTGGGTACTAGGTGGGGTATACCCAGCTGTTTAGAAAGTGGGATGGATTGGAGGGGTGTCCCAGAAGGGAGTGTAATACATTTAGACTGGGGCTGTGCTCCATCAGCGGGAGGGAATGAATGCACACTTGGAGAGAAGGGTACTAGAGAATGGGACTGCAGCCTGGATGAAGACAACAGGATGGAGGGGAAGAGTCATGTGTACAGTCATTCTCACCTTCCACACGAGACTCCAGGAACATATCCAGCTCTGTATCTTTCTTCACCGCCTCCTCTGACACTTTAGGGCAGTTTGGCAAACACACCAACACAACACTCATGTTATCCCGACTTCCCTGTAGCGGAGGGGGGAGAGAGGGATGAAGAGAGTCATTACATGTGTTAACTCTGACCCTAAAGTAAGAAAGAGAGCTTCCTTTATAACTGCACCAAACACGCACCTCCATACTTAACATTTCTACATGCTAAAACACACACACACAGACTAGCAGTCTTGCCTCACTGTACCTTGTGCAGGCAGGTGTCCAGCACCTGGTTGCAGACCTTCTCCAGGTCCTGAGACACCTCCAGACGGGACTTGACAAACTCGCACAGCTCCTCGTTGCTCATCACGTCCCAGATACCGTCGCAGGCCAGCACCACAAACTCATCCTCCGGGGACCTCTCGATCTCAAACACCTCGGGTTCTGGGGACACCAGCTGCTCCGTGGCGCCCTTCCCATCCACACACTTGTAGTCGTAGTCTCCCAGGGCCCGGGACACGGCCAGGGAACCATTCACCCTCTGAATCATTACCGAGCCACCTGCGTTCTGGATCCTCTCCTTCTCCCGTGGGTTGCAGGGCTTGTGGTCCAGCGTGGAGAAGCAGACGTGCGTGTTGCGGTAGAGCACGGCCCGTGAGTCACCACAGTTGATAAAGTAGAGGTGCTCTGGCGAGAGCAGCACGGCCACGGCCGTCGAGCCACTGCGGTCCATGCCATTACGCAGGTCAGAGAAGTTCCTCATGTGCTCGTCGATCTTCAGGAAGCCGGTGCGGATTCCCGTCTTGACCGTCTCCACAGCGGGGGCTGGGGTGACACCCTCAGGGCCCGGGGGACCCATGCTGTGGGTGATGATGTGCCCCAGCAGGTGTTTAGAGGCGTAGTTAGCCACGCGGGAGCCGGCGTGGCCGTCGTAGACAGCGAAGAAGGACCAGTCATGCAGGCCCTGGGGTAGACCCACCGTGGCAGTGTGGGCGTCCTCCATCTCCACCCGCCAGCCCTGCATGCTGCTCAGGCCATAACGGAGACCATTGCCCTCGCCGTGGGCATTGTGCGTCTCAGTCTTGGGCTTGTCCAGGAACGCCCCCATGGCTTCGGCCACCACCTGGCGATAGGAGGAAGGGAATGAGGAGAGAAGATCAGGAGACTGGTTAGAGCATGCAAAAATAGAAACACCTCATTCATTCCACTTGTGAGATGGGCCAAACAGAGCAGCTGAAAACACAACATACTGTATTCAAGTAATGTTGATAAAAGTTTTGGCAACAACAAGTGAAAGACTAAAGCAGCACTATAGGGGTCAACACAGGGTTTGTTTCCTGATGCCTCCCACATTGCATCTGCTGCTGTGTCTATGGAGAATGTGAATCAACCAACGACTAAACCCACGCAATGAGATAGTTGTCTTGGATGCCAGACTGCATTCAGTATTGAAGATAAAAATTAATGTGGAGAGGTCTGAAATTTACTGCTCTTATCATGTAGAAAATCTGCTTTCTAGCTCTGAGAGTTTGAGACATTTCTAAGAGAAGCACCCACCAGACTGTGAGGGAGACAGGGGAGGGGAGAACAGTGTGTCAAATCTAATTGAGTAATAAACTTCAAATAGAAATTCAGCACTTTTCAACTCCTCAACTGATTACCCTATGGAGTATTAGTATTCTATATGGTGTTCTGTTGGTTGGGCAGTGTTAGTATTCAGCTGGCTGGGCAGTGTTAGTATTCAGCTGGCTGGGCAGTGTTAGTATTCAGCTGGCTGGGCAGTGTTAGTATTCAGCTGGCTGGGCAGTGTTAGTATTCAGCTGGCTGGGCAGTGTTAGTATTCAGCTGGCTGGGCAGTGTTAGTATTCAGCTGGCTGGGCAGTGTTAGTATTCTGTATGGTGTTCCATTGGCTGGGTGGGTATGGGGGGGTAGTAGCTGAGACTGAAGCCATTGTAGGTCTCGCTGTAACAAAGATTAAACCTCTCACCCAGCGGGATGACAGGATTTTCTCTACTCAGACGACTTGGCTCTTAAAGCTCTGCTAGGGAAAACACATTTCTAATGAAATCGTGCTGCCAGATTACAATGAGGTTCATGGTAAATTAACATTGCTTTTGCACTATGAAAATGTCTCCTTTAGTGTTTTAATGGTGGGCAGACTGCAAGCAGGGCAGGCCCCTGGATGTCTGTGAAGCCTGGGGCTTGAGTGGACAGAGCTGTCTAGCTTTGAGAGGCCAAAGACGGCCATCTGGTTTCACAACAGCTAACAGAGTAGGCTAGATGGAATACCTAACCAGCATGATTGCAGCAACAATCACCTGGCTGGCCAGGCATAATGATGATGTTCCAGGTGATTTATGATATATGCCATTCATAATATAGCTTATGCCAATTGAGCTGATTTCTCAAACCATCCTGTGTCAAATCCATATTAAAATACTTCGGCTGAGGACAATACCAGTATCGCAATACTGTTTAGTAATGTGGCAAATTAACAAAACACGAAGCAGATTTAACTTATTTTGGAAACCAACATCATTATGTTGTCATCCAGAGTCACATTTCTTTATTTTCCAAGCTATAGCACACTATATTTTACATACAGCAGGTTTTTAAAGGGCCAAAGAGTTTGGTCTGCTTCGTGTTTTAACTTTTGACATATTGCGATACTGGTATCGTCACAGCTCTACAAATACTTTACTGGGCGAACTAGCCTAAATCAAGGGCAAATATCGGACATGTATTTGACCATCTGTCCAGTATAGGCCTATACAGAGTTCAGGCAGTTACATAGTACCGTCATTTTTGGACTATAAGCCGCGCCTTTTTCAAATTTTTCGACCCTGCGGCTTATATAACGGTGCGGCTAATCTATGGATTTTTACAGCTAACGGCCACTAGAAGACCTCCTAAATCTATGGATTTTACAGGTTACAGTCCACCAACTTTAACTCTATGGGCTCTATGACCGGTCCGCGCCCCCCACCTTTAAGCAGCGGGCTCCAGCAGGAAAAGCTGGAGGCCGGAAAAGAGTGAGACAGGTAGCGCGCAAAAGTAAAAGTGGAACCGAGAGTGGTACGAGAGACAGAACGAGAGACAGAACGAGAGCAAGACAGACAGACATTACGAGAGCGAGACAGTTTGTCTCTTTCCCGACAATCCCCTCTGTGCACGAACCCTTACATATGGTAATTAAACATTAAAACACCTGCGGCTTATAGTCCAGTGCGGCTTATATATGTACACATCATTCAATATCATTCAATTTAGCTGCTGCGGCTTATACTCCGGTGCGCCTTATAGTGCGGAAAATACGGTATATTCCTGTTTGCTAGAGCCCAGCTCCAGTTGTAGAGGTTAGAGGGCAGGCTGTCCCTCCCTCACACCTTTTATCCCCACACTGAAAGCACAACAGGCAGGACTAAAGTCCCGTGTAGCTCAGTTGGTAGAGCATGGCGCTTGCAACGCCAGGGTTGTGGGTTTGTTTCCCACGGGGGACCAGTATGAAAAAATCGATGCACTCACTAACTGTAAGTCGCTCTGGATAAGAGCGTCTGCTAAATGACTAAAATGTAAAAATGTAAAGTTCTGGACATGTCTGACCACTGTAGTCCAGCGGTGAAAGCAGGTCACCCAGCACTGGCAGGGCCACTCACACCATAGTGCGGTCTGTCTGTCTGTCCAGCCAAAGTCACATTGAGGTGTGTTTTGACAACATAGCTGGGCTAAATAAAGGCCGCCCCAACGGTTAGCCAACTAGGGGTAGATGGGGAATAACCTATTTACTGGAGAGCTCCCAGGAATGAGTGGACGAAGCGAAGAAGCCACATATTTTCCACTTAGCTAGGCTAGTCCTTTTCACATGGGACATTTAATTTTCTTCTGCATATGTCTGTGCACATAATGCTTATGCTGGGGGTGCTCTTTATCTCTTGATTATCATTCTGTTTGGGAGGCAACAATGTTAGAGGTGCTATTTGGGAAACAGGCCCAACTATCTAAATCCTTACATCTGAATTTGAGCACCATAGCAGTGCCTTCGATCTAAGCTTTGCCTGAATGTTCTGATCAGAAGACCAGCCAATATTTTGTGTCAAGAGTGTATCGGAGAAGTAGGCCATCCATCTATCTATCTAGCCATCCATCTTCGGCTGGACCTACATTACTGTGGGCATATAGCAGCATTTACAGGTGTAGTGTAGAGACCCATTGCTGTAAAAACATAGGGTGCTCTCCTCTCTCCATGTTAGCTAGTGATATCCAGAGACAGTCACTGGCCTACTCCAAGATTATGAATGGAGCAGCTTTAAATTCCTTTGGCCAAACCAGACCGGTAAGAACATAACACGCACCAAGCATAGTGGAGGAGGTCAGACACACTGAGACAACAGACAGCCGAGAGGTACTGAAAGGAAAACGCCACCCAAAAACTGTCTTGTGATTTGTTTCATTAGTCAATTGTTGATATAGTCCAAAAATGTTTTGCATGTCAGCAATCAATTTTTCAAGATATGTAACTATCTAAATACAGGAATCTGGCCCGTATGATGCATTTTGAACAGTATGAGGCCATTGCTTCTCTTGCTAGAACAAAAGACATTGCCTGCTGGGTACCGACCTGATACCGTCAAACCGGACATTTAGAACATGTAGAATTGGCCTGCCCCATCAGGGGCCGACAACTTGACTGAGCTAATCAGTCAGCATGGACCACCGCGGGAGGGGAGCCAAAAGGCTTGACAACAAAAAGGAGAAAGAATAATCCACCCCCTTTCCAGCAGTCCTAACTATACTGAAAAAAATCTAAACACAACATGCAACAATTTCAAAGATTTTACTGAGTTACAGTTCATAGAAGGAAATCAGTCAATTGAAATAAATAAATTAGGCACTAATCTATGGATTTCACATGACTAATTGGCAGGGGTCCACCCACTTCAGAGCCAGGTCCACCCACATGGGAGCCAGGCCTAGCCAATCAGAATGAATTTTTGCCCACAAAATGGCTTTATTACAGACAGAAACACTCCTCAGCACCCTCCGTCCCCCTCCACCACCTACTCCGACGATCTCGCAGGTGAAGAAGCCGGATGTGGAGGTCCTGGGCTGGTGTGGTTATACGTGGTCTGGGTTGTGAGGCAAGTTGGATGTACTGCCAAATTGGTCGAGAAATTAACATTCAATTCTCTGGCAACAGCTCTGGTGGACATTCCTGCAGTCAGCATGCCAATTGCACACTCCCTCAAAACTTGAGACATCTGTGGCATTGTGTTCTGTGACAAAACTGCACATTTTAGAGTGGCCTTTTGTCCCCAGCACAAGGTGCACCTGTGTACCATGCTGTTTAATCAGTTTCTTGATATGCCATACCTGTCAGGTGGATGGATCATCTTGGCAAAGGAGAATTGCTCACTAACAGGGATGTAAATAAATGTACACACAAAATTTGAGAAATAAGCTTTTTGTGCGTTTGAAAAATGTCTGGGATCTTTTATTTCAGCTCATGAAAAATGGGATTAACACTTTAGATGTTGCGTTTATATTTTTGGTCAATATAAAACAAAGCTGCATAATACATCTTGTTTTTCTGAAGCTAGTCTTTACATCTAGCTAAGGAGTTTTGTGCTTGAAGAAGCATTTTCTGTTAGGTTTGATAATGTACACTTGCTCATTGGTTAGCTAGCTACAGGCAGTCACACACTGTACACAACACTAAATGCTTCACCAAGCTAGCGGTTAGCGTTGCCATTTGTCAGTTAGCACAACATAGCTAGCTAGCTACTCAACTGACTCAACAGCTAACAGGCAGCTGCTTTATAAAAAAATGAATCCATTATAATGTTGCTAACTATGCTAGTTATCTAGTTGTGGCCATCTGGCTAGAATAAACATGGGCTTACTACAAATTCTAGCTAGCTAGCTAGCTAGCAACAACAACCACGCAGCTTGCTAGTTAGCTAACATTAGCCATCTACAAATGTAGAAGCAGGCACAAGCCAAAACATAGCTTGGCAACGGTACTGCCACCTTCTGGTCTGGAGTATTTTAACAAGGCTGAAGGCCGATCTGTGCTATGTGATGAACAAAAAATTGACTGTCGACACCCTGGGCAGAGGTGCTTAGTACGTCTCGGCTGTCAGTATCCTTGATGTCTGAGACACTCTCGGCGGAGGTGCTTAGTACATCTCGGCTGTCAGTATCCTTGATGTCTGAGGCAATGAAAACATGCCATCGGCTGCAGAAGACCTGTCATTCTACTGACATGCAGAAGAACACAAATGACATTGCATACCGAGCCTAAGCTAGGCTACTAGTTGACCCTGCGCAGTAACACACCCACTTTACTAGCCTTTTACCCTTTTTATACCAAGCAGTACAATGTGAAAAGACACTAGCCTATATGAGCTAGTACTGTTCAGGTCAGCACAATGGTGTTGAGTGGGTCGGCTAGAACCATTCTAGGCTGTCCTCTCAGTGGTCTGTCCTATGGTGTCACAGAAGGAGCAGCGTGCCTGTCTGTCTGTGCCCACCACGCCTCACTCACACCAGGCTATAAATACCACAGGGTTTGGGTTACACTCCACACTCCTGTCCCCTTCACCCAGCTTACACAGGCAGACAGGCCCAGAGACAACCAGAGGAAGACACTTCCTGCAACCTCTCCCCCCTGCAGAGCCGTGTACCAAGGCAGACACACTAACCCTGGCGCTGGGGTACATAGGAAGGAGACTGACTGGCTTAGAAATGACATCACTGACAATGTGTAGCTCAGAGCCCTCCCTCAGCCTCCCTGTATTGCCTAACTCCAAGAGGGGTGCTCTGTGTTCTGTTTGTATAACAGCTATGACCAGTTTGTCCATAACGTCTATTTATCTTGGCTTTTCCCAGTTCTTCCAGTCCAACAGAATAACACCTGCCCCCTCACACACCTGGTCCCTGACTCCATCATCCTCTGCCCACTTTGATCACACGCTGACATTAGCATGACAGAACACTGTCTGCTGCCCCCCCAAACCGGACCTGCTCATTGCTTATGGATGTGTGAGTGCACTATTGTGAACACTTAATCCAGCCTATGTCAAGGGCAGGAAGTGAGCGACGGCGTTGTTCGTTTGAAGTGTTTTCCTTTGACGAGCATCGTGGGGACAAAACGGTTGGCCTTTACAAACCTTTGTTCCACAGCAAACACCCACTGTCTTTCATCCTCATGTTTGTCCATTTCTAGCTTGATATTTTTTTACCTGGCTGTTACAGCTATGACAAAGCCCCAAGCCCTGTTGAATCAGAGCGGTGAATGAGGTCACTAATATAGTAGACTCTTATATAGATCCCTATTACTCTCCAATCAGCCTCCGCTTGCACAGCAGGTAGACTGGATACAGTTACAAAACTAATGCAAACTGGCTGCACAGTGCTGTAAATGGCTGCAAGGCATCTTTGATGCATGTCAGCTCAAATCAGTATACTAGTACTAGCCTATAGATAGGTAAACCGGTTACCATCTCAAAAAGCAGATCATACTGTTCTGATTCAATTATTCCCATCTTGCTAAACATACAGTATGTGATATAATTGGAGTTCCCATACTACAAGATGTTTCCTCTCTCCCACACACTACTAGAGAAAACACTTGCTGAGGTCGGTGGCAGTGATGTAACCACAGGACTGCTCTAGCTCTGGGGCTGATGTCATGTGTTCCATCTCTATGGTTACTGGGCCTGGAGTGGCAGCCAAGTGGTTTCTATAGCGACCGGGAGCTCTAGCACTGCTGCACAGCAAACCCCTGACCATGCACTGTTTCTTCGCTTTAATGACAGGAGTGTTGTGGAAATAAACACTGAACACACACACTTCAGTCGTCACACTATTTCCCCTGATCCTGGTGTTTCAGTGTAAACCAGTGTATTTGAACAACCACACAAAGCATAAGGTAATAACACTTGGATTCACGTGCCACCTCCCCCAACTTACATCAGTAAGTCACCTGAATATCCATGCATTAATTACAGCACTGTTTAATTTATTTAATTGCGGCACTGCTGAGCACATTAAATTGCAATAGCTCATGCTCAGAGACATATCCCCAGGAACATTAAGAACAGCCTGCTTGGTGGGGTTTATTGTCAACAATGAGTTTTAGATTCAGTTATACCTCTTTTCCTTAGAGCAATTCATCACCAATGATTAACATGTGTTCCAAGTTCTGGACAACTTATCTACTTTCTCACTATCAATCATTCATTGAACGTTTGGGAGAAACGTTGACTGTTTAAGATCATATGTGTATCTTGAGGGTTGTGTGTGACTGCTACATTAATCAGAGGGAGCATATAGCCTACAGTTGTACGTTACATGTCAAATATTATTTGTGTGCGTTAGTGTGCGTGTCCAGTTGATTTCCTCTCCCAGTCGTCCGTCAGTCAGTCAGTGAGGGCAGGTCAGTGAGGGCAGGTCAGTCAGTCAGTCAGTGTGGGCAGGTCAGTCAGTCAGTCAGTGTGGGCAGGTCAGTCAGTCAGTCAGTGAGGGCAGGTCAGTCAGTCAGTCAGTCAGTGAGGGCAGGTCAGTGAGGGCAGGTCAGTCAGTGTGGGCAGGTCAGTCAGTCAGTCAGTGAGGGCAGGTCAGTCAGTCAGTCAGTGAGTGAGTGAGGGCAGGGTCTTGGCAGAGGGAGCAGAGCAGGCCCAGCTGCCGCTCAGCAGAGCTGTGTTCTTTGTGCACATGCCCCACTCTTTATTTTAGGAGAAATGAAAGACAAATCTGCTGGAGCAGCTGGGAGGAGAGGGCTGGGCTGGGGCAGGGTGAGCCGGACTGGGGCTGGCTACAGGAAAGGGTCCACCTGGAGGCCCTGCTGAGGGATTTGGACTGGGTCTTGGTACTTAGAAGAGCCTTCATAGGATTATAAAGTCATGATGCAAAATAAGTCTCTCCCAGTATAGGGAGAGACTTCCCTCTTCTATTCACCCTGGTCCTTTCTTTCCCGTTACCACCCCCTAACCCAAGCCTATTTATATGCCCATCACATCCCCACCAGGGTCATGCAGACCTAGGCCAATGATATTCATAAAAACCCAAGATAGTTAATTTGTGTCGTTCTCAGTGGGAGCAAATGAAGCATAGTGGGCAGATCAAGCAAGGAGGTGGGCAGAGCCAAGCACGAGCTAGCAAGATCCTATTGGCCCGTTCTAGCATATTTCTGTTAGAGAACACCTCTGTGAAGTGTGTGTGTGCAATAACGCAATTCGCCCTAACACTCACAACTTTGAAAAACTTTAGCTAAGGGTAACGTCAACAAAACTGTATTGAGATAGGGCTTTTCTTCAATGGGAAAATCAGCAGAATGTTGGCCCAGTCTCACTCTATATTGTACCACTGCCAGCCACTGGGCTTCCTCTCATCACAGGTGGGGAGAGGAAATTCCATCCGGATGCTTCAGATTTATTACAGTCGGTGAAACATCGGCCTCCTTCTTCCATCCGTACCTAGGAGTTAGCAGCCTGACAGCATCTCACTGGTGACTTGGATTCAGTTCTATACCATATCATGGGCCATGCCAGGGTAGGGCATCCATTCTAAATAGAAGATAAACACAGAGGTGATGCCAAGCAACTATCAGAGCTCCCCTCTGTCAAGCTTGCATGGCATCATCCAGGCCAGCAGTCCCATCAACACCATGTGATGTGACAGTGAGAGCATCCCACGACGGGACAGGGCCACGAGTGACCCCACCCCCTGGGGTAGGCAGGCACACAAAGGGTTCCAAGATATGGAGAGGGGCCTTATAATAACCAATGTCCGAAGTCAGGTCATACTACTGAGCTATTTTCATGATACTTATTGTAGGCTCTATAGTACATAATGGTGCAGATATTGTCCATGTCCCCAGCACAAGGTGCACCTGTGTAATGATCATGCGGTTTAAATCAGCTTCTTGATATGCCACACCTGTCAGGTGGATGGATTATCTTGGCAAAGGAGAAATGCTCACTAACAGGGATAAAGAAATCTGTGCACAGAATTTGAGCGAAATAAGCTTTTTGTGCGTCTGGAATATTTCTGGGATTTATTATTTCAGCTCATGAGACATGGAACCAACACTTTACATGTTGCGTTTATATTTTTGTTGAGTGTAGATTTGGTAATCTACTCATTGGATCCATGCAGTGCCAGATTAGCCTCTGATTAAACAGCGGCCAGCCCAAAGGGAGGGATGAATGGCACTGCTATTCCCACGTGATGCATTGAGGTCAATGGGAGACTAGACTAACTGTAAAGGTTAGGATTGGCCCCATGGTGTCGTCAGATCAGCAGAGAAAGTAAGGAGAAGTAAAGGTGGGCAAACAGATCTAAGGGTGCATGGCATTGTTAGGGTTGTGTACTGTTAAGGCATATATTATGACAACATTTTGTGAGGGTTTTGTTCATTTTGGACTTCGGTGAAGGCTTTTTCAGCTGTTCGGGCACACCTTTTTTCGAGGCAAACCAAAGTTCAGAGCCAAAGTTTATGCCCCTTCGTCGGTGATTGGTCAACATTATGGATTCTTCAATAAAGTCTGTTGTCATTCAACGAGAGACGACTCGTTTTCATGCACGTCGTTTCATTGAGAAATACTGCACCAAACATCTTAGATGTAAAATTGCGTAACTTACAGTTGAAGTCGGAAGTTTACATACACTTAGGTTGGAGTCATTAAAACCTGTTTTTCAACCACTCCACACATTTCTTGTTAACAAACTATAGTTTTGACAAGTCGGTTAGGACATCTACTTGTGCATGACACAAGTAATTTTTCCAACAATTGTTTACCGACAGATTATTTCACTTATAATTCACTATCACAATTCCAGTGGGTCAGAAGTGTACATACACTAAGTTGACTGTGCCTTTAAACAGCTTGGAAAATTCCAGAAAATGATGTCATGGCTTTAGAAGCTTCTGATAGGCTAATTGACATCATTTGAGTCAATTGGAGGTGTACCTGTGGATGTATTTCAAGGCCTACCTTCAAACTCAGTGCATCTTTGCTTGACATCATGGGAAAATCCAAAGAAATCAGCCAAGACCTCAGAAAAAAGATTGTAGACCTCCACAAGTCTGGTTCATCCTTGGGAGCAATTTCAAAATGCCTGAAGGTACCACATTCATCTGTACAAACAATAGTACGCAAGTATAAACACCATGGGACCACACAGCAGTCATACCGCTCAGGAAGGAGACGCGTTCTGTCTCCTAGAGCTGAACGTACTTTGGTGCGAAAAGTGCAAATCAATCCCAGAACAACAGCAAGGGACCTTGTGAAGATGCTGGAAGAAACAGGTACAAAAGTATCTATATCCACAGTAAAACGAGTCCTATATCGGCATAACCTGAAAGGCCGCTCAGCAAGGAAGAAACCACTGCTCCAAAACTGCCATAAAAAAGCCAGACTACGGTTTGCAACTGCACATGGGACAAAGATCGTACTTTTTGTAGAAATGTCCTCTGGTCTGATGAAACAAAAATAGAACTGTTTGGCCATAATGACCATCGTTATGTTTGGAGGAAAAAGGGGGATTTGCAAGACGAAGAACACCATCCCAACTGTGAAGCACGGGGGTGGCAGCATCATGCTGTGGGGGTATTTTGCTGCAGGAGGGACTGGTGCACTTCACAAAATAGATGGCATCGTGAAGGAAGGAAAATTATGTGGATATATTGAAGCAACATCTCAAGACATCAGTCAGGAAGTTAAAGCTTGGTCGCAAATGGGTCTTCCAAATGGACAATGACCCCAAGCATACTTCCAAAGTTGTGGCAAAAAGGCTTAAGGACAACAAAGTCAAGGTATTGGAGTGGCCATCACAAAGCCCTGACCTCAATCCTATAGAAAAGTTGTGGGCAGAACTGAAAAAGCTGAGTTTAAATGTATTTGGCTAAGGTGTATGTAAACTTCCTACTTTTTTTTATTTTATTTTTATTTCACCTTTATTTAACCAGGTAAGCCAGTTGAGAACAAGTTCTCATTTACAACTGCGACCTGGCCAAGATAAAGCAAAGCAGTGCGATAAAAACAACACAGAGTTACATATGGGGTAAAAAAAACATAAGGTCATAAAATAAAACAGAAAATATATATACAGTGTGTGCAAATGTAGCAAGTTATGGAGGTAAGGCAATAAATAGGCAATAGTGCAAAATAATTACAATTAGTATTAACACTGGAATGCTAGATGTGCAAGAGATTATGTGCAAATAGAGATACTGGGGTGCAAAAGAGCAAAATAAATAACAATATAGGGATGAGGTAGTTGGGTGGGCTAATTTCAGATGGGCTGTGTACATGTGCAGTGATCAGTAAGGTGCTCTGACAACTGATGCTTAAAGTTAGTGAGGGAGATAAGAGTCTCCAGCTTCAGAGATTTTTGCAATTCGTTCCAGTCATTGGCAGCAGAGAACTGGAAGGAATGGCGGCCAAAGGAGGTGTTGGCTTTGGGAATGACCAGTGAGATATACCTGCTGGAGCGCAGACTACGGGTGGGTGCTGCTATGGTGACCAATGAGCTAAGATAAGGCGGGGATTTGCCTAGCAGTGATTTATAGATGGCCTGGAGCCAGTGGGTTTGACGATGAACATGTAGTGAGGACCAGCCAACAAGAGCGTACAGGTCACAGTGGTGGGTAGTGTATGGGGCTTTGGAGACAAAACGGATGGCACTGTGATAGACTACATCCAATTTGCTGAGTAGAGTGTTGGAGGCTATTTTGTAAATGACATCGCCGAAGTCAAGGATCGGTAGGATAGTCAGTTTTAAGAGGGCATGTTTGGCAGCATGAGTGAAGGAGGCTTTGTTGCGAAATAGGAAGCCGATTCTAGATTTAACTTTGGATTGGAGATTCTTAATGTGAGTCTGGAAGGAGAGTTTACAGTCTAACCAGACACCTAGGTATTTGTAGTTGTCCACATACTCTAGGTCAGACCCGTCGAGAGTGGTGATTCTAGTCGGGTGGGCAGGTGCCAGCAGCGTTCGATTGAAGAGCATGCATTTAGTTTTACTAGTGTTTAAGAGCAGTTGGAGGCTACTGAAGGAGTGTTGTATGGCATTGAAGCTAGTTTGGAGGTTTGTTAACACAGTGTCCAATGAAGGGCCAGATGTATACAAAATGGTGTCGTCTGCGTAGAGGTGGATCTGAGAGTCACCAGCAGCAAGAGCGACATCATTGATATACACGGAGAAAAGAGTCAGCCCAAGAATTGAACCCTGTGGCACCCCCATAGAGACTGCCATAGGTCCAGACAACAGGCCCTCCGATTTCACACATTGAACTCTATCTGAGAAGTAGTTGGTGAACCAGGTGAGGCAGTCATTTGAGAAACCAAGGCTATTTAGTCTGCCAATAAGAATGCGGTGGTTGACAGAGTCGAAAGCCTTGGCCAGGTCGATGAAGACGGCTGCACAGTACTGTCTATTATCGATCGCGGTTATAATATCGTTTAGGACCTTGAGCGTGGCTGAAGTGCACCCATGACCAGCTCGGAAACCGGATTGCATAGCGGAGAAGGTACGGTGGGATTCGAAATGGTTGGTGATCTGTTTGTTAACTTGGCTTTCAAATACTTTCGAAAGGCAGGGCAGGATGGATATAGGTCTGTAACAGTTTGGATCTAGAGTGTCACCCACTTTGAAGAGGGGGATGACCACGGCAGCTTTCCAATCTCTGGGGATCTCAGACGTTACGAAAGAGAGGTTGAACAGGCTAGTAATAGGGGTTGCGACAATTTCTGCGGCTAGTTTTAGAAAGAAAGGGTCCAGATTGTCTAGCCCAGCTGATTTGTAGGGGTCCAGATTTTGCAGCTCTTTCAGAACATCAGCTGTCTGAATTTGTGTGAAGGAGAAGCGGGGGGGGCATGGGCAAGTTGCAGCGGAGGGTGCAGAGTTGGTGGCCGGGGTAGTGGTAGCCAGGTGGAAAACATGGCCAGCCATAGCAAAATGTTTGTTGAAATTCTCGATTATTGTAGATTTATCGGTGGTGATAGTGTTTCCTAGCCTCAGTGCAGTGGGCAGCTGGGAGGAAGTGCTCTTATTCTCCATGGACTTTACAGTGTCCCAAAACTTTTTGGAGTTAGTGCTACAGGATGCAAATTTCTGTTTGAAAAAGTTAGCCTTTGCTTTCCTGACTGCTTGTGTATATTGGTTCCTAACTTCCCTGAAAAGTTGCATATCGCGGGGGCTATTTGATGCTAATGCAGTACGCCACAGGATGTTTTTGTGCTGGTCAAGGGCAGTCAAGTCTGAGGAGAACCAGGGGCTATATCTGTTCTTAGTTCTGTATTTTTTGAATGGGGCATGTTTATTTAAGATTGAGAGGAAATTACTTTTAAAGAACAACCAGGCATCCTCTACTGACGGAATGAGATCTATATCCATCCAGGATACCTGGGCCAGGTCAATTAGGAAGGCCTGCTCGCTAAAGTGTTTTAGGGAGCGTTTGACAGTGATGAGGGGTGGTCGTTTGACCGCAGACCCGTTACGGATGCAGGCAATAAGGCAGTGATCGCTGAGATCCTGGTTGAAGACAGCGGAGGTGTATTTAGAGGGTAAGTTAGTCAGGATGATATCTATGAGGGTACACATGTTTCCGGATTTAGGGTTGTACCTGGTAGGTTCGTTGATAATTTGTGTGAGATTGAGGGCTTCTAGTTTGGATTGTAGGATGGCCAGGGTGTTAAGCAAATACCAATTTAGGTCACCAAGCAGTACGAACTCTGAGGATAAATGGGGGGCAATCAATTCACATATGGTATCCAGGGCACAGCTGGGGGCTGAGGGGGGTCTGTAGCAAGCGGCAACAGTGAGAGACTTATTTCTGGAAAGGTGGATTTTTATAAGTAGAAGCTCAAACTGTTTGGGCACAGACCTGGATAGTATGATAGAGCTCTGCAGGCGATCTCTACAGTAGATTGCAACTCCACCCCCTTTGGCAGTTCTATCTAGACGGAAAATGTTATAGTTGGGGATGGAAATTTCAGAATTTTTGGTGGCCTTCCTAAGCCAGGATTCAGACACTGCTAGAACATCAGGGTTGGCGGAATGTGCTAACGCAGTGAATAACTCAAACTTAGGAAGTAGACTTCTGATATTTACGTGCAAGAAACCAAGACTTTTGCGATTACAGAAGTCAGCAAATGATAGTGCCTGGGGAGTAGGAGTGATACTGAGGGCTGCAGGGCCTGGGTTAGCCTCTACATCACCAGAGGAACAGAGGAGGACTAGAATAAGGATACGGCTAAAGGCTTTAAGAACTGGTCTTCTAGTGCGTTGGGTACATAGAATAAAGGGGGCAGATTTCCGGGCATTGTAGAAAAGATTCAGGGCATTATGTACAGACAAGGATATGAGTAAAGTGGAGGTAAACCTAAGCGTTGGGTAACAATGAAAGAGATAGCATCACTGGAGGCACCAATTGAGTCGGTCTCCGCGTATATGGGGGGTGGGACAAAGGAGCTATCTAAGGCAGGTTTAGCTGGGCTGGGGGATCTACAGTGAAATAGTACAATTAGAAATAACCGAAACAACAATAAGCTAACCATATTGACAAGGGAGAGAGGCATAAAGCAATCAAGGTGTAATTTGAGAGAGCTAAGACAACAGCTGGTAATGACGACACAGTTTGGGCTGAGGCTAAACATAAACAGGATGCAGTACCATAAAAAGGAACAGTCCAGCAGACATCAGCTGTATAGCTGAGTTATAAGATCCGGTGAACAGCAATAGGATAGTTCGGAGGTAGTTCGGGGGCTGCTAAAGCACTAGCGAGCAAGAGGGCACGGCTAGCGTGTGCTAGCAGGCCGGGGCTAGCAGATGGAATCTTCGTGGTCAACGTCGTAACGGGAAGCCGGTTGTAAAATCTACCTCATCAGACGATTTCGTCGGCAGACCAGTCGTGTAGGATCAGCTGGGCTCCGTGTCAACACTAGGTGGTCCCGTCCGGTTGACAGAGAGGTAGATAGCCGGGAGATGGGAGATGGGAGATGGGCCTAGCTCAGGATGATTAGCCAGACCTCAACGTCCATTTTGTTGCAGCTAGCTGGTAGCGATGAATCCGGAGTTAAAGGTCCAGTGATTCAGTGATTCCGGCAGAAAAACGGATATGTTCTGGGTCGATAACGCGCTGTGCAGACAGTGCAGACTGGCCGAATAATAGTCCAGACTAGAGCTGGCTGGTAGGTGGTGCAGGCCACGGACAATGGTGAAAAACCGCTAACGGTAGCTGATAGCAAGTAGCTAGTTGGCTGGCTACTCCCGTCCGGTAGACCTAGAGGTAGATAGCCGGGATATGAGCCTGGCTCTAGGCTAGCTCGAGGCTAACTGGTGCTTGCATCGGGGGCAGTGGTGATTAGCCAAACAGCAACATCCATTCGGTTGCGGCTAGCTAGTTGCGATCCGGTGATTAATGTCCAGTGATTAAATTATTCCGGCAGAAAATCCAATGTTCTGGGTGAAATAGCAACTGTGGCTAATAGCAAGTAGCTAGTTAGCTGGCTAGCTAGTTTCAACTGGAGATTCTAGATAAAAGGTAAGTCAATAATAGAATCCGTTCCACATTGAGTGAGGCGGGTTGCAGGAAAGTATATTTTGTAGAAGGATGAAAAGTCTGATAGGAAAATATGTACGAAAAATACAAAAAAAACTGGGTATTTACAGGCCATTTACAGACACACGACAAAAACAGGACTGCACTACTACGCCATCTTGGACTTCAACTGTAGATCTCCTCTGCATAAACATCAAAATTAATGACACATTCCTTGAGTTATCGTAGATTAATTGTGACTGTTTTGAGGAAGTGTATACTGGCTACGGCGTCTCAAGATGGACAAACAGTACTATTGCCACTTTTATCTCGTTTTTCAAGCGAAGGTCTTTTAAAGGAGTATGAGAGCACACTCGTTCGGTTCGCCTAGCCGACTTTGGCTAGCCGGCAGCCGAACTGAAGCATGCTGATGCCTTTAGCCTAATTGATGGGAATCAGAGCCCTTTTTCCCCCAACAGAGAAAACACATCATCCTCATGGTAAGATGAAGAGAGCTATTTCTAAATCCTGAATCAGTCCTACAGAGCAAACACCCCTTCAGGGCACTGACTAGCCTAATCATGAAATCACAGTCTGGCCTGAGATGAAGAGTGGATCCTAAAGTCATCATCCAAATATAGGCCTACACACATGCAAACAAATCCACAGTCAAACATCACACATTCTGACTCTCATACTGAGTGACCTATTCCCAATGGTTCAGTCAAAAGAGTTCCCAGGAATGACCGGGCCTGAAGCAGGTCTCGCTCATCTCTCTCCAATGCAGAAACCAGCTGGAACCGCTTCAACATGAATTCTAGATGGAATGTTGTTCAGGCAGAAACCAGCTGGAACCGCTTCAACATGAATTCTAGATGGAATGTTGTTCAGGCAGAAACCAGCTGGAACCGCTTCAACATGAATTCTAGATGGCATGTTGTTCCGAGGGAAAAAAGTAAAATCAACACTTGTAACAGGAAAAAGTATTATCTTTGGGAGAGCTTGGGTCTTCCTTCACTGCGATACGGTGTGAATATCAGATTGACTCCCCGGGCTCCACATACCACCCCGAATTGCACATACAACACACACACGCATAGGTGGTGCAAAACCCTCAAAGCAAATTAACATGCTGCGTGAGTTCAGTTGATTGAGTTCAATTATCTGACCCGTTCCTTATCTTTCCCCACAGACACCCTGTTCAACGTTACCAGTGACCCAGCACTGGACACCTATCTAGGAGTCATTCTGAGCCCTCCAGTCAACAGTGTGCCAACATCTGGACAGGGGAGACAGGCTCTATCACTCAGAGGATAGCGAGCCAGCCAGAGTGGAGCTATTCACAGTTGACACCATTTCTGTTGGTGACATCATTAAACGGTCACGTCAGCCAGTAATTGGTTCCCAAACGTTTTTGCACCATGGCCCAGCTGACGCCTTTTATATTTTCTTGTGACCCATCCAACAAACATCTAATATTTTTGCCACGACCAAAAATTGATTTGCAGACTGCCTGACCGAACTCAAAAGGACTGTGTGTGACACTCAAGAACATAGGCCTAACTCTCAACACGCTGACTTCATTACTGACACAGAAACACACGTCACTGATTAGGCTAGTACAGCCTACTTTCTCTGCACCCCACACACGTCCATAAACACTGCACACATTCTCACATCACACCTCATATCTCACGCATAGAAAAGTACCGCTTTTATTTTTCTAATTAGTCCATTGTAGACAGCGACTCATTTTGAAACCGGAGCAGTTTACCATCATGAGCTGAACCTCTATCATTGTCCTGTCTTGCCACAGCACTGTGACCCGCGGCACATTGAAGGATATGATTGGTCTAGATATGTAAAGGGGTCAAGGGGATTGGATGCACGTTTTAAAAGAAACGCCACTCAAGATTAGAGTGGAGCTGAATGGAGAGAGAAAACGTTCTCCGCTGAGTTTATTAAACTGTAAAAAGAGCAGCACGGTAGCGTTGGTTTATGTACAATGTTATCAACAATTAGGTTGCTGTTACTCCCATCCCTATTGCAGAATGCAGCTTTTTGACAGAATGTACTAAAATTGATTTAATCCACACTTGCATTAGTCTCCTTGTTTGGTGATTGGTGTTTAGGATGTGACAATGAAAAGGCAGCAGACAGTATGTCAGTATGTTTTAGCAGGAAGTTTGTTTAGGGTGACCTGATTTGGAACTATGAAAATCATTTTGACAAACAGATTTCGAACCCAAAAGTGTATGTTCGATTCTAGAGGGGGGTCAATAAATACATTATTTGGTCAGGGTGTAGGGGCAAATTTATGTCATCTTGTCTGAAGATTTTATCTATGTACTTTATTTAGTCTGATCAGTGGAACAATTCTCATTCTTAACAATGAGCTATAATACAGGGTAATTACTGAGCCTGTCAGCAACAGCACTACTGGTATTCCCCACGCGTATTGTATTATTCCACTTCTTCCCTGTACTGCCAGTGTAAACACATGCTAGGCAGACATGGTAGGGGGACGCACAACTCATAAACGCATTATATTTTGTATACAGTGCACTCGGGAAGTATTCAGACCCCTTGACTTTTTCCACTTTGTTACATTACAGCCTTATTCTAAAATGGATTAAATAATTTTTTCCCCCTAATCAATCTACACACAATACCCCATAATGACAAAGCAAAAACAAGTTTAGACATGTTTGCAAATTTATAATTAAAAAAATAAAAAATAAACTTATTTACATAAGCATTCAGACCCTTTGCTATGAGACTCGAAATTGAGCTCAGGTGCATCCTGATTCCATTGATCATCCTTGAGATGTTTCTACAACTGATTGGAGTCCACCAGTGGTAAATGTAATTGATCGGACATGATTTGGAAAGGCACACACCTGTCTATATAAGGTCCCACAGTTGACAGTGCATGTCAGAGCAAAAACCAAGCCATGAGGTAGAAGGAATTGTCCGTAGAGCTCCGAGACAGGATTGTGTCGAGGCACAGCTCTGGGGAAGGTCAGCAAAACATTTCTGCAGCATTGAAGGTCCCCAAGAACACAGTGGCCTCCATCATTCTTAAATGGAATAAGTTTGGAACCACCAAGACTCTTACTAGAGCTGGCCGACAGGCCAATCGGGGGAGAAGGGCCTTGGTCAGGGAGGTTACCAAGAACCCGATGGTCACACTGACAGAGCTCCAGAGTTCCTCTGTGGAGATGGGAGAATCTTCCAGAAGGACAACCATCTCCGCAGTACTCCACCAATCAGGTCTTTATGGTAGAGTGGCCAGACAGTAAAAAGGCACATGACAGCCCGCTTTCAGTGGCAGGGACTGGGAGACTAGTCAGGAGATCCTTGATGAAGTCCTGAGTGCTCTGGAGCAGGTTCTCAGACTGGGGCGAAGGGTCACCATCCAACAGGACAACGACCCTACGCACACAGCCAAGACAACGCAGGAGTGGCTTCAGGACATGTCTCTGAACGTGCTTGAGTGGCCCAGCCAGAGCACGGACTTGAACCCGATCAAACATCTCTGGAGAGACCTGTAAATAGCTGTGCAGCGACGCTCCCCATCCAACCTGACAGAGCTTGAAAGGATCTGCAGAGAAGAATGGGAGAAACTCCCCAAATACAGATGTGCCAAGCTTGTAGCGTCATACCCAAGAAGACTCGAGGCTGTAATAGCTGCCAAAGGTCCTTCAACAAAGTACTGAGCAAAGGGGCTGATTACTTATGTAAAATGTGATATTTCAATTTTGCTTTTTTATTTGCTACAATTTCTACTAACCTGTTTTTGCTTTGTCATTATGGGGTATTGTGTGTAGATTAATGAGGGGGGGAAACTATTTATTCCATTTTAGAATAAGGCTGTAACGTTACAAAATGTGCAATAAGTCAAGGGGTCTGAATACCTCTTTAATGCACTGTATGTAGAGTAAGATGAAGGCAATGATCTTCAACTAGTAGGCATAAACCACCTGAACATTGACATTCATTAGATTGTTCTTGAATTTGCAAAATACTAAATGTATGTGTCCTTACCTTGAAAGCAGTCTATGGACAATGAGACTGCAATCTATGATTTGGTTACCCACTGCCATCAATCACTAATATAAAAGTGTCCTGTGCAGAGCCTTGGTGTAGTGGTAACACTCCCCGGCACGTGTCGCATACAACTTTGCACCTGAGAACAGGGATCAATCCCTGCTTCCAACCTTCCCACTGTTAGCGTACTTTAAATGTAATCCCCTAAAAATCTCAAAGTAACAAAGTTGTCCAATTTTGTGTGTTCATTTAATGTTCAAAGCATCCTGAATACACCAGACCTGTAGTTTCTATTTTAAAATGTTCCTCCCTGGTCATAGGCCTAAGACGTGAAAATACGTAGAATTGCAGGAAACGAGCTTTAAAACAGTCAAATGTTACTGGGCGACGACCCCCAGTCTAGAGGTTGTGCCAGGGGGCAATGAAATTCACATAGCAAATCTCACTGCAAGCTTTCTTCAAAAGTTGGCAGCCCTGCACACCTATCCATAAACACACACAGTTGGTAAGACTGGGGCCCATATCCCAAGACATCCTTGAATAGAAACAGAGTGTAAAGACCATACTATTCAATGAACATGTCAGACGTACTGGCTGGCTTTCCGTATCCCATTAATAAGACCAAATGTGTGAGCCGTCCAGCATAAACACCAGCTCTACAACTGAGTGGGAATAACAGGCTGAATGAGCAGCTGGGCTGTGTTCAGTTCTGCACAAAAAAAGGATGACATGTTTTCAAACACAGTGAAGAGAACAAGCCTAATGGGCTAAAACGTATCCAATAAGAACCAGGGCCAGGAGTCAAGAACATCAACAATACAACTGTCCATCAGTAGAGCCCAGGAAAAAAATCCTCCAGACAACCACTTTTCTTTTCACCTACCACACTCTATTCGGACCATCAGCCCCACCTCCACCCCTCATGAGGTACTGAGACCAAAGATAGCAGGATGTCATGACACCCTGAGGCCTCAGAAGCACTGATTCTCCATGGCAGTTAAAGCGACAGGCTCAAAAAAGAGAACTACCTTCCTTCCAAGAAAGTGAGAGGCTCATTCTTGGAAGTACACATCACTGTTTGTTTTGAGCCTGTCATCACCTCACCTGGTCGTCTGAAGCCCCAGGGCTGCTAGGCCTAATCATTTTATCACGGAGAAACTCAGTCATCATAAGTGTCGCCCATCTACACCAACATTTTAAAAAAAGTATATTCAGGGGCTACAGGAGTAAAGCGAGTGTTGCAACCGAGGACAGACACATTTTACGCGCTATGCTCTTCAGCACTCCTGTTCTGTGAGCGTGTGTCCCCTACCACTTCGCGGCTGAGCCGTTGTTGCTCCTAGACGTTTCCACTTCCCAATAACAGCACTTACAGTTGACCGGGAAAGCTCTAGCAGGGCAGAAATTCAACAAACTGACTTGTTGGAAAGATGGCATCCTATGACGGTGCCACGTTGAAAGTCATTGAGCTCTTCATTATGGGCCATTCTACTGCCAGTGTTTGTCTATGGAGATTGCATGGCTGTGTGCTCAATTTTATACACCTGTCAGCAACGGGTGTGGCTGAAATAGCAGAATTTGAAGGCGTGTCAACATAGTTTTGTATATATAGTTTATTTCATCTATAGCCTAATAAACTGCATGTTTCCCAAGTCGTAGAGGGAGGACCACAAAACATATCATAGCTTGTCTCCAAGTTTACTTCAATATGATGGTTATTATATCAATATTTGCGTATAAAGACATTTCCACCGCCATGCCTCGCATAATACATTTTACAGACACAAAAATATCCCACCATGTCGAACGAACAAAGTATCTGTCGGCATTTATAAAATTGTACCTAAACTTCCTGTTTCCATCACAGCTGTCGTGTTCTTTTTAAATACGGTATGACTTTACTCACATTAAAACTGAATGGAAACGTGGCTAATGATGATGCAATTTCATCCGCACAGCTGACTCTCCCACAGGGTGTTGGTGGTCAGTAATAACAAAATAAGTCATTGTCACCTCTACTGAAACCTGAAGGGGGGGCCCATATGGTGCACCCAGATAATGTCAGCAGACATAGAGAGGAGTTAGCCTACAATTGAAAATGTCTGGTCCTGCCAGTACTTGCACTTAGCCTAATAGCCGTACACTATCTATATATAACTACCAGTAAAGCCTGAACTATTTGTCTTCAGCTGGACCTGATTGTTTTTATAAATAATACTTTCCCTCTGAGTTGCATACTATTGGACTGACTGGACCACACCTGTGACATAAGTGCAGTCCACAATTGTTGCATAACTGGGATGTATTCACCAGGAACCAACCAGATCTCAATAAACATTTTCCGTTGCAAAACGTTTTGCTACAGTGTCTGACTAATAAATACACCATCGCAACAGGAGTGTCACTCTAGTCAATCGCTTTCACACAACCTACTAAGGTCAACAAGTTAGTCAATGATACAGAACACACCATGTCAGTTTACATATGGTTGTAGTCCTAGCTTTACAAGCAATATCCACCTGGCATGGCACTGTTGATCGTGGGATAGCTAATGAGGAACAATCAAATCACGATGGTTCCTGCGGTTAAACAACATCCAGAGTCTAAATCTCGGAGGTTTAAAATTACAGTTCAGGGGGAGTCTTGCAGATTCGGCCAATAATGTTTGTAGCTAATGTTGTCGTTTTTAGTGACGTTACTGCACACTGCCAAATGTCACTCACCTATATACTGTGAGTATGAGTTAATATAACGTTAGATAGTATGACCCCAATTAAAATTAGCTTGCCGGCTGTCTTGGCCCCTCGTAAATGATGTCCAACATGGATAGCGACCAATTTAGCGTGTATTTCTAGTTGGCTAGCTAGCCATATGTGTCCAAGAACAAGTAAATGGCTGGGCCAGTGTGGCTGCTGTGTTGAGGAGCTACTGTAGCTAACTAGTGTAGTGCAAGTGTGGCTGTCAACAACAACAGCTAGCGTTAGCGAAATACTGATATGCTACAAGCAAAGGTCGACTTCAATCAATGGCCATTTAACGTTACTGTTTTCAATAGTTAACTATACTAATGTAATTACCTATTATGCCATAACTAGCTACACACATAACTAGCACATATTTACGCTGAAAGTCATGATTTAGTATGACTGCAATGTGACTAGCTAACGTTGCTTTAGCTAGCTAGCTGGTTAAGTCTTAAGTTGGCTAATGCCAATTCCCCTGAAATAGTTATCTACTTACGTTTTCGGAGAAATTTACTCTTCTGGTTGCAATGGAAGATTTCTTTACTTGTCTATCAATTTTTGGTTTTAATTCGTTTTCTTGAACTAGCTAGCTAACGTTACTTAGCTGACCAGAATTCAAGCTAGCTATATAACCAAGATAGCTAGCGCTTTACACGAATTCCCCTTTCAACATTTCTTGGCACTGACTGTGGTCTTTTTTATGCATGTTTGTCACCAAAGAGACAGCACTATGATTTAAAAAAATCTAGCTAGCTATTATAGAAGAAGTGATCTGATTTTGTCAGCTAAATGTATGAAACAGATGACGTTCTTTCCTCCATTGATGCGCAGAAGATCCCTGCTCCAAGTCCAGTTCAAGAGGAGTGACGTTCTCTCCACTCTTTACAGTCATTGGTCAAAGTCTACTACAAAATGGAGCTAAGATTGGTAATTATATTTGTCAGTCAAATTACATTGTGACCTACCCTCTGAGGTATAATATTGTTTGCAGTTTATTTATTTTTTATCGCTTCGGTACTATTTTCACAAGTATGTGGTAAAATTTCACAACTCTTAGTAGGAAACTCAAAACAGATCATAAAAAAACCCGCTTTTTCAAAACGTTAAGCACATTTTCAATTGACTAAGTACAACACACAAAATCACATAGTAACTTTTTCACCAACCCTAATCAGTGTTTTTTTTCAAAAATACCTTTCATATAAAGTAATTGCCTTTCACAATGCAATGCTCTCAATAGTTTTCATATGATTCTCTTCTCATTTGTTTAAATACATTTGACCATTACTTAATCCAACTGCGCTTAATGGCTAATCACTTAACCGTTTGGTAAACCTATAGATTTTAAACTGGTTTGTCTACTATATATGGATTTTGAGAACTACAAAAATAAAATGTGTGTTTGTATAGTATAAAGGTCTAAATTACATGTATGATGCACGATAACCATATGTAATGACTACTTGTTATTGCTAATTGATTTCACATAGTGGTAACAACAATTGGTCACCATTTAAAACGGGGTGTGTGAACACTTGCAATTTCTTTCAACATGGAGAAGGATAGACAGCAAGGGAGAGGAAGAAATCAAAGAGCTGGTGGGCAAAGAGGTCAAACAGGTGGGTATGGGCTCCGTCAAAGAGGTCATACAGGTGGGTATGGGCTCCGTCAAAGAGGTGGGCTTGGGCCCCATCAAAGAGGTCAAATAATAATAATAATAATAATAATATGCCATTTAGCAGACGCTTTTATCCAAAGCGACTTACAGTCATGCGTGCATACATTTTTGTGTATGGGTGGTCCCGGGGATCGAACCCACTACCTTGGCGTTACAAGCGCCGTGCTCTACCAGCTGAGCTACAGAGGACCACAAACAGGTGGGTATGGGCTCCGTCAAAGAGGTGGGCATCGGCCCCCGTCAAAGAGGTGGGCATGGGCACCATCAAAGAGGTCAAACAGGTGGGTGTGGGCTCCGTCAAAGAGGTGGGCATCGGCCCCCGTCAAAGAGGTGGGCATGGGCCCCATCAAAGAGGTCAAACAGGTGGGTATGGGCTCCGTCAAAGAGGTCGGCATCAGCCCCGTCAAAGAGGTGGGCATGGGCCCCATCAAAGTGGTCAAACAGGTGGGTATGGGCTCCGTCAAAGAGGTGGACATCAGCAAGAGGGAGGCAGACTGCATGGAACTGTTGTCTAATGAAGTCCGGGCCATCGTTGTTGACCATGTAGTAAACAAAGGCCTTACCATGGCAGAGGCTGACAGATTAGTTCACCCCAACCTGAAAGATCAACTGTCAATTCGATCATGAGAACATTTCGTCAAGAAAACCGGTAAGTCTGCAGGATATGCACTATGCTTTACCATTACATTTACAGTAAATTACATATTGTAATGCATGTTAATTCACAAAACATGTTACAGTATTCTTACATTATGATCTATTGACAGTACACTACCGGTCAAACATTTTAGAACACCTACTCATTCAAGGGTTTTTCTTCATTTTTACAATTTTCTACATTGTAGAATAATAGTGAAGACATCACAACTATGAAATAACACATATGGAATGATGTAGTAACCAAAAAAGTATTAAACAAATGAAAATATATTTGAAATGTGAGATTCTTCAAATAGCCACACTTTGCCTTCATGACAGCTTTTCACACTCTTGGCATTCTCTCAACCAAGCTTTTCAACCAGCTTTTCCAACAGTCTTGAAGGAGTTCCCACATATGCTGAGCACTTGTTGGCTGCTTTTCCTTCACTCTGTGGTCTGACTCATCCCAAACTGTCACGCCCTGACTCAGGGGACGGTTATTTGTTGAGTCAGGGTGTGTATATTTCGTGTTGTGTTTATTTCTATGTTTAGTTTCTAGATCGTTTAGATCTATGTTGGCCAGGGTGGTTCCCAATCAGAGGCAGCTGTAGCTCGTTGTCTCTGATTGGGGACCATACTTAGGCAGCCTTTTGGCACCAGTCTGTGTGGGATCTTGTTCCGTAAAGGTATGTTATTAGTCTACCTTGGACTTCACGTTTCGTTTGTTGTTTTTGTCGTGTGTTCAGTACGTCAATAAATATGGATGCATATCACGCTGCGCCTTGGTCCTTCTCGTTAATGAACGATCGTGATAGAAGATCCCACCAATCCTGGATCAAGCAGCGTGATGAGGAGAGAGGATGGACTTGGGAGGAGATGAGCGAGAGTCTGGCAAGAGGGATGGAGGCCATGAGCACGGGGGAGAGACAAGCCCAAAACATTTTTAGGGGGGGGCTCACGCCGTGGACGACGAGGCAGCAGGAGGCCGCGATAGAGCGGTTCAGCCGTTTAGCAGAGGAGGCCGCCAGATTAAGGGGGTCATTGGTGCAGAGGGAGCAGAAGGAAAGTGTAGAGGCACGGCG